TTATCAAATCAAATTTCGAGTTTTGTATTGTTTCAACAAAGCTCAAGTTGAATCTCGCCTCTTGACTGGACTGAGCTTATGATTGAGACTTACAATAAACTTGATCAACATGAATAATCTGAAAAGTTTTTCTCCTTCACTCCAAATACGATTTCTGAGTTTTCTCTGAATAGAAAGTTCTGACTGTTTGAATGTCAAGTTAGCTGAATCGTCATAATCGAAGTCCATGATTTGGAATGAAATTTCTTTGATTCTCTCACAATTTTGACGCAATTAAACAGTGCGATTGCTTTGTGTTTGGATTAAATGGAAACTTAAACTCGTAAACTGAGCAAGTTGTGAATGAATGATGAACTGCCTGGGAATTAAGATAAGAACAGGTAGAGTGAGAAAATATTGTTGAGAGATATTATTCTTCTTCTTCTTCCATTGTCATCACTTTGATCCTTTTCAACCTTCGAATCCACTTTAACTTTCTTTTTATGTGTAACCTTTTTTCCCATCGAGCAACTTTATGAATGAAAAGCAACCTTACTCGAATCAGGTTGGCCAATTTTCATCAATGAAATTGTAATCTTCTTTCATTGACAACTTTTGCCCTTTTCGTGGGAAAGGAAATAGTAGACGAAAATTGGTTAAAAAAAGGCTCAAAATGTTGACCATAAACAATGGCAAGGCAACCCCATCCAAAACCATTTACTACAATTACGAGAGAAATCGTATTTTCTCAAAAATGGTTCAACTTTTTCTGTGAAAAAAGGCAAAGTTTGTCATCATTACTACAAGGGAACGAAAAATGATGAGAAAAAAAAAGAGATGAAGAAAGATGAGTAAAGCGGAAATGATTTGCTTTCGTTCATTGATTGAGACCAAAGAAAAGGTTTGCGGTTAAAAGGAAAGGCTCTTTAAATGGCCTTTTAAAACGAGTCTAAATATTTGGCTTCTTTGGACATAAATTTAACTTCATCATCAACCTCATCTGATAGTTGTTAACCTGTCTCGTCTCCTAACCTCTCTTATCTTCCTCATATCACTGTTAACCTGACATTCAATTGAAGCTTTTTTTTCCATTAAAAGCAAACGAAACAAGAAGAAAAAATTCATTTAATCATTTTTTTGCAACTTTCACCATCTTCTTGGGCCTTCCACTCTCATCCTCCTGATCACCATCCTGATCATCATCCAGACCGGTTCAAGATGGCCAAAAGAAGATGAAGAAGAAGATGAAAGAAACGAGAAAATAGTTAGTGAAATTTGAGCCTATTTGTTGTTTCTTGAGCTTAATTTTTAAAACCAAGATGTTTACTGATGATGAGAAGGAAAAGGGAAAAAAGGAAGGCGAAAAAAAAAGAAATCAGAGTTTTTCTCTCTTTTCATCTTCTTCTTCTTCTTTGGTGGAATCGTGCTTTTGGATAATTTCATATTGAATAAAGAGACTCACAGATATTCCAGAAGCATTCCTCTTCCCCTTCTCATCATCATCATCTTACCTTTTCTCTCAACCTTTGTCAGCCCTCATCATCATCATCTGAAAAGTCAGTCAAGTAGAAATGAAAGAAAAACTGAAATGGAAGAGAAAAAAAATGTTGAAGAAAAGACAAGTTGATTGTAAGCATTTTCATCATCTTCATCTTGAAACATTTGCAACCTGTTTTCCTCTTCAACAGCGATCAACATCTTAGCCATCTTCATCACAATTAATTTAAACTACTTAAATGCAACAACAATCAACACGGTTTGCGTCTGTCACCCCCAAACAAATAATAATAATACAATTTTACTGGAAAAAAGGCAACTCTCTGTTTGTATTCACTGTTGTGTGAAATTATTCAACTTTTTCACTTTACTTTTTTCTTCTTCTTCTTCTTCTCGATTGTTGTTCCCTCAAACAACAGCCAAAAATCACTGATTCAACTGACCTTCAACTGAATCTTACAGATGATGAGATGAGCAAGATAAACATCATCTTAAACTTGATCTACTAGCCCATCAGCTTTTATAACTATCTAATTATCTTCCAATAAACTTGTTTCCTTCTTTTCACGAGATTCACCAACAAAAAAAGCAACTCACTTTTGTCTCACTTTGTAATTATTTTAATGGTTCCTTTCAGTGGATTCAGTAAGCATTCATGATCACTCGGAAACTTGCCAGTCTCTTGTAACATCAGTTGCCTTTACAATTGTTTAATGACCAATTAATCTAACCAATTCAAATCATGTTCAACTCTTTCTTTACTTTTCAATTTTTTCTGTTTTCTTCTTATTGCTCGTAAAGTTAATCCCAATTGATTGCAACTAGAAGTTTCATTCATTTGCTTCATGGAAACTTGTTATTCCTGAATATAAAATGGAATGTTAAAGGATTTATGAATAGGAACAACTTTTGACAACTTTTATGCACTTTTGTCAAACATTTAATTCTCATAAATTTTGGTGCAATAATCTTGATTTTTGTTTCAACTGATTTACCTTTTTCTTTATCGAGGTGAAATGTTAAGTAGTTAGATCATGATTTGATTAATTGGTTGGAAAATGGCAAAACAGTGAAACGAGAAGTTGAGCAAAGTTTAACTGACAATTTATTCGGATCAGGTCAAGGTGGTTGAAATATTGAATGGAAATTCATGAAATTCAGTTGAAGTGTTTTTTTTCTGCTCATTTCTTGCATATTTCAAGGTTTTGGATTTGAAGAAAGCTTTTTGTAGATGAAAGTCTGATTGATTTGTTTAAATCAATACAATTGATCAAACTTGTCAAATGAGATTGTTTTTCATTTAAAGGCGTACATTTGTGGTGCAAATATTTTAGGTTAAATGAAAATTTTATGCCCACTTTGAGAGATTCACTGATTTGGTGAGTTTATTTTTTCTCTTCTCTATTCACATGAGAAAGAAATTGATTTCATTCTAATAATGATGTTCAGCAAAAACATGGTTTCATGATGAATATTTTTCCAACCAGGAATCGTTTATCTTAAAGTTAACAGACTTTTAAAGTGAACGCCTTTGATGACTAAAATACAATTTAAACCTTTCAAGTCTTTATCTTGCTTGAGACTGATTTAAGGTTTAATATTCATTGGGCTGTTTTGCATTATTGTTGGGACAAAAGCTTTAGTTGGACTTATCAAAGTCGGAATAAATACGCATTAGGTGAGTCAAGTTTATCCTTGACCATTGATTACTGTTTCAACTTGTTTATCAAATGACAAATTGAATACTGAGTAATGGGAAGAGACAAGATCAGAACGAAATCCGTTGTCACTTGAGTTTTCAAAAGAAACGGTATTAACGTTAGTAACTTATCCACTTAGTAAACTTAATTATCTTTTTGATCTGACGATAAGCATTTACTAGCAGTCAGACTCGAGGCTTAACCGATTCCTTAAAATTACCTGGTAATCTGGTCAGAGGTTAGGTTTGGTTAGGTTAAGTGAGACTTTTGTTTAATCAATTGTCAACAAAACAGAATCGAAGAGCTAAACAGGTTGCAAAAGCAACTTAGTCGACATCATTGGATTATTTTGCCAGAGGAATTGCCAGATCGATATTCAATATATCAAAGTTGATTTTATCGTCATCTTGCATTTAGCTGTTAAACAAAATGATTAAACAAAGCGGTAACAGTCTAGTTATACAGATACAAGGAGCGTCACAAGACAGTCTGGTCGAACCACAAAAAGATCATTTGTTAATTTTATTCATTTATTAATAACAATATTTCTATCGCCCTTTGCAACTGTTAACGTAACACCAACATTACAAACTGACGAGCAATCAGCTCCAGAATTAGCTTTAATATCTTTCCATTTCATGTTATTTCGTGATATAAAATTTAAAGATCCTCTTGATTGGATATTGATTTGCAAGTCTTGTTAGTTACACCTTGTTTCCGTGTAACTAGACTGGTATTTAAGCGACTCGATTCAGGGAAAACAATTGAACAGAAAGTTGATTAATTGTTAACGATTGTTAATTGATATTGGAAAAGATACTCTTGTAAACCAAGTAATTTGTGAAAGTTTGAATCAGGTAAGAAGAAATGTCAAGAAAGTTGTCAAATTACTCTCAGGGAAAAGGCATTTTAAAGCAATTTGAAATTTGATTCAAGTTGCAAGAAATGTTTACGCATTTATTAACACATTTATTAACTTAACACTGGACTCAATTACTTGAAAAAATATACAAGCAAATAAACAAGATGATAATCAGTAAATTTGCAGACAAAAGTTGATTGATTATTATAATGAATAGTGAAAGGTGTCCAGTAATGAACAGTAGCGACAGTAGAAAGTGAACAGCAGCAACAACCCAAAATGATAATTATAATGACAATGGTAATTGAAATGTCAATTAATTCTGTGAATGTTGATCCATTTTCAGATTTTAAATTGTTCATTATCTTCAATCAATCCAAATCAATTTGTACCGTTTGGCCTCTTGCAATGGCAACAATTTAACAAAGGTCAAACCAACGAATGTTTCACTTTTAAATGGCCACTTTGAATGCATCGACACACACACTGGATACTGTTACAGTTACTCGTAAAGTGACTGCAAAGTCAGGTCTGTTAGGTCAAAGTAATCACAATCTGAGAGACAAATCTTGACAGGTTTTCAATGTTACATTCCCTGAAGAGGTCAACTGGGCCAAGTCTAAAGGTAAAGAGCATTTACAAATGATTTTATTGGTAAACAACTTTTATCTTCTATTCAGACTTTAACCTGAAATTATTACCCTGATTAGCATGATGATGTATAACAAGTTAGTTTTACTGTGGCAATCAAATAATGGCAACAAATGATCCAACAATATTAGGCCAATGAACTGTCTACCATTCAATGGACCAACATTATTAACATTTGCCATTCAATTGATTTTAACAAAATGATTTTTAAATGATTTATTCAACAATTTTAACTTTAATGGTTTAAATAATTACCAGATGTTTAACATTGCACTTAAAAGTATGACTTAGTTTTGGGTAAAACTGGAGAGTTGATCAATTAATTGACATTTATTAACAAGATTAACATGATTCTTGTAACCTTTAACATTTAATTTTATGTAAAGTTTGGTTAATTGGAAAAGTATCAAAATTTTAAGTCTAAAGAATCGTGAAAATGAAGAGTAACTTTAATCAACTTTAACTTCTGATTGTTGGGAAGTTTTATTTTTCTTGTCGGAAAACCATTGACCGGTTCTGCTCTTTCGAGCCAAAACGATCTTTCGAGGTGTCGTTTTCAAATCGTAAGCTTGTCCAATCATGGCCATCAGTTCGATGAACATTGCCGCTGAATTTAACTGTCCAATCCAACCCCATTCCGATGCTTTGTAGTCTTGAGGGAAAGTGTGATGAAAGTTGTGATAAAATTCACCTGTGAAAACCCAAATCTTCCAAAAGTTCTGCTCGACCGGACCAATTGTGTTGTCATAAGGTTTGGTTCCCCATAAGTGGGCTGCTGAGTTGACCAACCATGTGCCATGAAGGACAAGTAAAAGGCGAACTCCTGAAGCCATAAAACAGTGCCAAAACGGTATGTTCCAGTAATAGTAGGGAAATGCTACTGGAATGACTACAATGGTCAACATCGCAAGCCAAAAGTAATACTTTCGTTGCCACATGACAACCGGATCAGCGTAAAGGTCGGAAAGGTCAACATTTTTACCCTTTTCTTTGACTGCAGGATGTTTCTTGACCAGAAGCCAGCCTTGGTGAGAGAAGAAGAAGCCTCTTGAAGCATTGTGTGGATCAGCGTCCGTCTCTGAATACTTGTGGTGAACTCGATGGTCTCTGGCCCAGGTCAATATGTCATCCTGTCCACATGAAGCAAATGCCAAGGCAAGATACACACGTAATGGTACTTTGGCCTTATAAGACTTGTGAGACCAAAGACGATGAGCACCAGCAGTTACTCCCATTGAACTGAATAATATAGTGTACAAAGAGCCTGTAACAATTAAAGGCAATCAATTAGAACAATGAACACACAACACTGAATACTTTCAATCTCGAAAATTGAGATTTGATTCAATCCAGAATAATATCAATGGCAAATTTGTAACAATCAAAAAACTTTTCAACAAGAATTGCAAAATCTAAGATTCTATTTTTTAAGATTCTGTCTCAACAGAGTTAAACTTGGAATAACTGAATATTTATTTTTCACAAAATGAAAACGAAATAAATTCTGAATTTATCTCAACAAAAACACAGTCCACAGAATCAAAAAGCTACAGACGAAGTATCTACCAATTAATTGATCAATAAACTCTGATAAACTAACAAATGTAAGTCAATCATTTTCCTTCTCATTAAATCACAATGAGAAAATCTATGAATTTAACTTTTGAAACAATAAACAAAAATGATGGATTAACTGGATCAAAATAGCGCAATGATTGAAAATGGAAATCAAAAATTCGTTGCAACAAAAATTGGTTAAATTTGCTTCGATCAAATGTTTCTCTGATAAACTCACCAGCTTTCAGTAGCTTCCAAAAGTTGGGCCATTCATCTGGATAACGATAAAGATAGTAAATTTGCCAGAAAATAATTGAATGAAGTAAACCTTGGAGTATAACATTTCTCCAGACGATTTCCATCTTGTAGTCTTTCGATTGACTGAAATCTTCATCAACAGCCTTTTCCAAATATTGTGGTTCCACTTGGGTTTCACATTCACTTTCCTCGCTCATGATGAATCTTTGTCAATGAATCAAGAAGCAGAAAAAGAAATGGCACAAAATTTTCGAATCAACTTGGACTACTCTTTACTAGTAAATGAAAGAATACTGTAAATAAGAAATACTTTTTGTCTCTTTACGGTTACGTTATTGACGGCGACCAAATTGATAAACTTGGACAATCAAGAGATTCCTCATCTCCTCCTTCATTTGTAACAATCACAATTAACCTACGCAATTTAATTTGTCCTTTTGTTTCTTCATTTCTTCTTCCTTCAAAGTCTATCAGGATTGAATGTTGAGGCAAACAACAATATTGAATAAGCCGATTTAATTCCTATTAAAGTGTCACTTTGATTATTGGTAAACAACATTGATTGTGGGCTTAAATTGTCATTCATAATTACCATTTAAATTGACAATGAAACAGCCTCAACATTTACGTCCCAATAACCAAAATGCTTCAATCATCTTTCAGTTAATCGAGCAAATTTCAAACTCTTTACGAACCTTTAATGTTATTTCAAACTCTCGCTGTTGATCGCATTCATTGGGTTCATTTACACGCTATAATTTTACCATTTAAAGCTTTTTCTTTGAAGTTTATTTCAATTATTAGTTTATTATTATGATTACATTTTTGGGTTTAAATGAAGTAGAATCACAAACAATTGAATGAAAATGAATGGTTCTGGTTTCAATCAAAGAAATGCAGACTTAAGTCATGCTGAGTTGAAGATTTCACTTTCAACAATCAATGGTTAGGGCAACGTTACAAGACAAAACGTATTACGCTTTATGTTGTGTTTGTAAACAGTTCAGTTAGATTTATTGACATCGGAAGTTAACATTTGAAAATTTATCGTAATTAAGCTTTCTTTTTCTTCTTCTTCTTTTCCTTCATATTTGCATAAACACAGAACAGCATTTCAATTTGAACATTATTTTCATGTCAATTAAGTTTTGCACTTGTAAAAAGCCTTTTACCAACTGACCAACAAATTGCATTTAACAACCAAAGTTTCAACCCAAAGGAAAAAAATGGTTTAAATTATCTTCCAAGCAAATCGTTAGTGTTGAATGCAATGGATTATGGTTGATGAGAAGTGAAAATGCTGAGGTTAACATTTAATTCTGTTAAATCATTGGTCCTGGTTGATGTAACTTGAATCATGAGAATCAGCAGAAAAGAGAGAAACATCGGTGCAACATTGGAAATTTCAATGAATCTTATTTTCGTCCATTGGAATCAAATAGATTGAAAAAAGCCAAATTTGGCTAAATTTTTTGCTTCAATTTGCGATCTAAATGGGAAAAGGTGAAAGGGAAAAGTAATTAGTGTAAATGTTTAGGAAAAGGTAAATTTGAAATGATATCATGAAAGAGAAGCTTTTCGCTGTTCAATTTCATTTTACAGGTTTACCCTGAGAGATTTGAATTATTAGCTGTTTACAAAAGCCTGGGAAAGTAGTTTGAAAAACACCTTCTTTGGCGATTAAATGCAACAATAACAATGATAATAGTAATGGTAATGATAAAGATAATGTTAAATGATGGTAATATAATCATGTTCACAGGTCCGTTCATATGTTGAACATTAAAAATTGTGAAAATTACTTAACAATCAACATGTTTTTTTCTTGTAGTGTTTCAATGTTGACCAGAAAATTTTATTCACTGGGCTGAACTTTTCTTTTTTTTCAGATTAAAGTCAGCATTTTTTTTACTTCTTCTTGTGTTAACCAACTGAAAGTAAGAAGTAAATTAAGTCTGATGGTGACTTTTCATTTCGCTACCTTGATTTAGTATGATTTATGTATTATCATTGTATAAGGCAAGTTAATCAATATTAGTCGGGATCAAAATCATTTCAACTTTTCATGCTTTTCCTCTCTCTCTGTCTGTGTCTACCCTGCAAAAGGTACATATTCACACGTATTAAGTAAATATCAAGTATCATTTAATATCATCATAATATGTGGAAGTAAATCATGAAAACAGATTAATTTTAGATGGTTTGTTTCCTCTCGATCAATTGAGATTCCTAGGTTTGTTGATGTTGTTGTTGGCCTCGCAATCATTATTTATGTTGTTACATGGATTGAGTCAATGATTGTTGTTGACTTTGTTACTTTTCTTTGTATTAATAGTACATCAGGTTTTGTTTTGCTTTTTTTTATATTTTCCATGTTTCCCAGGTTTGTATCAGCTCTATTCAATTGGAATACTTGATAGTCAAAAAGTAGAGTAAATATTGAACTGTTACAAGAGTCAAATTAACTCACTCGTAATTTTCAATTATTACTTTCACTAATGAACCGGGTGGGTGATTGATGGACCAGGTTAACTGTTTACTGGAAATTTCATTCACCATCGTTGGAATGTTTATACACCATGATTGAAGACGAGTGTGTAAAGTGGCTCTATTCTCAATTGTCTTGTTTGAAAAGCAAAATTAATGGTTGATTGCAAAACATTATGAAGAGAATTGGTGAAATACTTTAGTCTTGATAGTCAGCTGATAGTTGCTAAAATTAATGACTTATCAACCTCTCAATGATCAAAGCTCGGATCTAATGGGCTTCTTGAGATGAGCGTATCCAGACTCTTCAAAAGCACTGCTCTTCAACTTGATTTCCAGTGTGATTTCCAATATATATACGGATCTAGTCAAATCTATGATTGTAATACTCTTTGATAGTTGGCCTTTAGACACCTGAAACTGGTGAATCAGAAGCTGCCTTTAAGAGAACCAGAAATATCCATTAGAACGCATTTTTGGTCAATGTTTAACCCTTGCCGCATGCAACAACCAACAGTGATCATTAAGTTGCCATAAAACACTGAAACATTACCAAAGGTTTCAACTCAGGAGTAATGTCAATCATTGATAAGACCAGAGTTGCTAACATTCCTTGAAATTGTTAATCTTCCAGCTGTGTATTAATCTGCTTATGTCAGGTTGATAACTATCGGTTTGTCAACAAAGCATTTTTTATATCCTTGACGCACGTTGTGGTTATAAATTTTAAAACAGTTTGTTCTAGAGAAATCAAATTTGCAAAGTAGATTCATGTAACAACTTGTATCCTGGATTTGAGAGTTATTCACGATGAAGCATTGAGCAAAGAAAGAAAGACGAAAAAGATTGGATTAAATTATGAAAAATAATTCTTAAAGCCATCAAATTCATTATTGTCTGAAAAATTTTCCCTTTTGAACTTATCCTTGGCACGTTAAATGACGGTCAAATAGACGAATTACCTTGAATGATCTTTCAATTTCAAAAACCAAAGCTTTTCCATTTGAGTGAGTCTCACCAGTCTGAACTTTCTGGGGCTGTTTAAAAATCATCCCCAAACGAGCCAAGGAATGTAAAAATGGCCAATATCTGTAAACCATTCAAAAGATATAACCTGACAAGGAAAGAAGCACATGGTTCACATGCGACGTACTCAAGAAATGGTTACATCAACAGGTAAGGTCCAACCTACTTTTCCTACTTAACTGATCATTGGATTTGTTCAATTAGCTACTTTGGAAGAGACATTTTTCACGAAGAAACAAATTAGTCTGGATTTGTTGAGTATCAGTTTCACCATCTTGGTCCAACTTGAGTTAGCTGATTAGCTTTACTTTCACGTCACTTTCTTCATATCTAATTGCCAAGGTGAGTTCATCTACCATGTCTATCCTAAAACAGCATCTATAATACAATACAATTTATTATCACAATCAGGCTCCGTAAATGTCCAAAACTTTAAGCTAATTCAAGTAAAAAAGGGAACCCGAAAAAAAAGAGGGAAAAAGGTTAATGTTGAGAAGCGAAAAAATGTGAGGAAAAAATGAGAATAGATTAGTTGTTTCAAATATAATTCTTGCCTGATACTGTTAACTTACTTTCAATTGACGCTAAAATAGTTAACAAATTGTCAAGGAAGAAGGAAAAAAAGTCAATTACATGAAAAAATGGGAACCTTAATCATCTTTAAACATAAAAAGTGAAAGATAGATTTTACTTAAACTGCTAAAAATCACATCAAAAAAATATATAAAAAAATAAAGCTTTAGTTAGTTTAACAAACGTAAGATGGCATGAAATTGGATCAATCAATCATGCAAAATTTTAATTTCAAAAGCAATTTGACATTTCCAATGTATACATAATGACAATTAGAAACTGTAGTTAAGAAAAAGGTTTCAAAATTCGAGCTCAAAAATTCCATCGCTTCTGCCACTTGAAATGCTGATGATTGACTAGAGTCTGAAGCTAATTATTTTATGGTAAGATTGAAAGCTTTTACAGAGAAATTTTTTCTTCTGGATTTTCACCTCTTTTCAGTTAACAACAAAAGTGTAACCAGAATCTGTGAGTTTGAAAAAAAAGCTAAACTCGTGAAACGATGCGTGAAAAATGCGCTTCAAATGGCAACCTTTTGTTTCAGTGCTAGCCTCTTTGTGGCGAATCGGTGAAGATGAGTTTAATATCCAATTACAGTTTGCGGTTTGAGTCCAAACAAAGGGTCTGCGGATGGAAAATGGTTGATAACAGATGAAAACAAATCTGAGAATTGAATGAAACCAAAAAAAAATCTGATTCCTACAAAAGAAAGAAAAAAGAGTTGAATGAGAATTAATAATGATAATGAAGTTGGTAAACAAATCAGTTAACAAGTAAATGAGAGTTAACTATCAGTTTTTACAATCTATTTTGAATGATTGATAATCTAGTTTTGGCGTTTCACTTCTTAACCTGGCTCCTTGTAAACGCTACTAACTCGGAAATGGTGATTATCATGATGATTATGAAGATGATAATGATAATAATGAATGATAATGAAGCTTGTTACGCGATTGTTTCACTAATTTACCTTCTCCAAAGTACATTTTAATTACCATTGACGCTGTAAACTGTGCTCATTGAAAGGAACCCAAAATTTTTGAATATACACTTTGCTCATAAAGTTGACTTTTCACTCGCAACTTCAGGTCACTATGTTACACTAAAGCTATACTTATCTTCCTCCTTCTCATAATCTCTCTTCACCTTCCTTTCCTTTTTCCCTCTATGCGAGCTTTTTTTTGTGTGTGTAAGACGCAAAAAAAAGGTCTCAATTTTATGGTAAAATGAAACATTTGATAGCCTCTTTCCCTTCACGTTTCAATGTAAACACATATATTTTAAATGTAAAAATGTAATAATAAAAAGGTCTCAGAAGGAGTCTTGAAGGAGTATTCAACTTTAAAGGTAAATATAATGATAATAATTGATATGGGAAGAACGATTTTTTTAACTTTACCTTGCGTATCAAAATACAGTCTAAAATTTATGGTCAAGGGAAACGAAAAAAAGTTGAAAAGATGAACAACAAATGGTGATCATCAAGTGTCCAGTGTTGAGTTAACGGCACACTGGCCATCAAGTTGTGACCAACTCTAGTGATTGATGTTTCAAGATTTTCAAAGGAAACAGTTTCTTTTTGTCTCATCGACAATTGAAGGTTAAGAAAGTTGCCATTTTACCATCAACAGGATAACTTGAAGGATGTTGAAAAAGGCAGAGGAAATGAAAATATTAATGTTTCTCTCTCTCTTTCTTTGTTTCCGTTCTTGTTAACCAAAATTATTTTCATCTCTGGTTTGGCTTTTTTTGCTTTTTTTTCTCCTTTGATTTAAAATCAGCATCATTATCATCTTAATCATTTGCCCCTTTGTATGATAGACATTTAAATTACTTTACCAGCCAACATTATCTTCATTGGGATTCATTAGTTTCCAGAAAAATTCATTTTTCCCCTTTTCTCTTGCTGACCACCCACTCAACCTCACTTGTTAAGCTGAGTGAAAATATTTCCAATAAAATTGATTGCATTTATTTTAAAAACAAATGGCCAAATATTATTGTTGCGCTGTTGTTGGGCCATCAAGAAGATAATTAAAGTAACGATGATTGGAATTATGATCCTATTGATAGACATGATGATAGCTTGGCTGAAAGGCAAGATATCGGAGCGGTTTCCATTGGCAGCGTATATTGAGATTTTTGGTCCATTTTCCAAAACGAATGTTAAGGTGTTTATGAATATGCGAAAAGGATTGGGTTAGCCTTTTAAATTTGGTCTATCACTATTTTTTGGTTGAACAATCCAACAAATTGACAGACTGAAGCTGACTCGTACTGAAATCAATGAAAAGCCCACAGTGATCATTGGCAATGCTCTAGATATTAACATTCCTTTGAAATTGTTAATCTTCCAGCTGTTAATCTGCTTATGTCAAGTTGATAACTGTCAGTTTGTCAACAGCAAATATCGGTAAATCATCCACCAGCAACGTCTCTACCTTGACGAGGAGAAAACGTCTCACATGGTTCATATACGATGTACTCAGCGAAATGGTTACATCAACAGGTAAGGTCCAACCTACTTTTCCTAACCGAAAATTGAATGGCGTCAATCACGTTACTTTGAAATAGACTTTTTCAACGAAGAAACAAATTGTCTGGAATTGTTGAGTATCAGGTTTACCATCTTGGTCCAACTTGAGTTACCTGAAAGTATTAATGAAGATTTTTAATACTCGTGATGTTAATAGAGACATCCGAAATAAATTCATCATGAAGCTAGCATTAACCAGTTCACACTTTGTTTCATTCTGAAATTCAAAATCGTCGTTATCGTGCTACTTACTGGTTGATATTTAAATAAATCGGCGTATCAATTTGCATAGCTACTTTAGTTCACGAATTAAAGGCTGATGACTTTTATTAAGAAAAATTTAAAGCCATCATAGTCGCCTCAACAGTAGAAATTTCTGTACAAAATCACTTAAAAACACTGATTAATAATTAATTGGCCAATTTAATTGAATTAACACTGTTTCAAGATTTACAAAAAAATAAAGTCATCATGCGATATAATAGCGCCATCTAGAGAGAAATAATATTTCACTTTTCTTATTTTAATCTTGAATCAAAATTAAAAAGTAACCCGGGATTTATGAAAAAGATAAGTTTTCTTTCCATTTTTGATTGACAAACTAGTTGATTAATCATTGATATCTATTTTTATTTTACTACAATTTTGAAAAGCGAAAGAAAAGCTCACAATAGAAGATAGTTATCATGATAATAAATAAAAATCGTTAATAAATGAGAATATTTTGAGAGAAGAGAGAGAGAGAAAAGAAAGATAATAAAAAAAATAAAAGATAAGATTGTTTATTTGGTTTAGCATCAATGGCTCTATCAACATGCAAAGAAAGCTGAATAAGAAGATTCCTTGGATTTAAGAGTAGGCTGAAGAAACATAAAGATGATGATGAAGGTGAGATGTCCTGAATATTTGGATACCAAAGAAAGGCCATTAAAAGTCAATGTTCACAAGAGGTTTAGTTGATTGGTAACTCAGACTGACACCCGATAAGAGATGGAGAAAGGTTGATTGGAAGTTGTCTTGACAAGTTTGTTGCTTTAAGATCAACTAATTGTAAATAACTGAAAAGAATGTCATGAAAGCAAAAATCAAAATGTCTCAAGTTTTAGGTTAACACCAATTTGCTTATATTGGCATCATAACCAAACTTGAGTTTTTTATCCCTTTTTTGCCTTGTAAGCAATAATCCGAATCAAGATAATTTTAATCAGAGTTGATCTTCGCTCATGATGGAAGCAAAGTGAATCAAGTTTGAATAACAGTAAATTGTTACCAGGAAATCACCCAATCAATTCAACAAATTGCTCTCTGGTTTAACTGTCAAAACACGATAATAATTTCAAAGACAATTTCTCATTCCAAACGATTCCTTGAGATACACAACTTTCAACATTTTGCCCTCAAAACCTTAAGTTAGATAACCTCGATTGTGAACTGCCAGAATTGCCATTTAATGTCGTTTGATTGTCTGACTTTCATTCAAAATCAATTCGACATTCGGTCATTTTTGCAAAAAAATAAAGTTCAATTGAAGCAATCTGCTCCATCTATTTACAGAGAAAGAAACTTTCTTTTTTGTAAAAAGTGAAAATTGTTATTCAATCAAAACAAAATCATTTATTAAATACACAGAAGTGGATCGATCTAACTAATTCAACATTTGCCATTTCACATGAAATTCATCATTAACTTTCCAATTGTTGCAGACACACAGAAAAGACTAGACAATAATTGAGATGATATTTTTATTTGATAGTCCAAGCTATTTGATATTGTCAAATCATCAATAAGTGGTGATCAAACAAAATATCATCGGAGTTCAACAAATCTTTTGAGAATGAATGATTTCGAAAGAAAAAGAATGTAAATATTTCTGATCCCATGGCTGTTTCACTCAAAATAAAAGTTGAACCAATGGATTGAACCATCTGTATGAAAAATCTTTTCAATGCTTCTCTTTAAACCTTTAATAAAACTGCGCCAAAACTTACATCTAAAAAGTTTACTTCGACTGGCAATTTTCCATATCAACTTGCAGATGCTTTTCCTGTAGCTTAAAAGTTTCTTCGTTCAACAGTTTTCGATAAAATCAGGTTCAAAGTTGGATAGCTTTTTCATACAGTTGAATTGGATTTACTATCAAACTGATTTTTCGGATTTTTAGGTAACCAGAAGATTACACTTGGAAAGGTAATTTTCTGTACGATTTCTTTCAAGTTTTAAGTCGATTTGAACTTATTCCATCGATAAAAAGGGTTGACGAATGTCAACGATCTTTTCCCGCGTTATCGAACAGTACTCTTGCATGTAAAGTTTTCTGATTCTTGTTGAGCATATTGTAATAGGAATATAAATGATTAATTCAATTTTTCAAGAAAAAATCAAGTTTTGGTTATTTTTTGAACTTTTTTATTGGCCATTGGATTGTTTATGACAAAATATAAATGCTTAGAAAAAAAAGTCTGCTTTAACGAATAATTTGGGTTTTAGCATTTTGGCCTTTATCTCAAAAACTATGCGTACTATAAGAAATTAATTACATATTTGAAATCAGCACACAAAGTTACATCAGAAAAATATATTTGAAAAATTCTCAGAGTAGGCCATTTTCCCTATTCATTTGACATCCACCTTTCTGTACAATTTTTTTCGATTTCGAGTAAAAGTCGATTTGAAAATTATGCCATCGATAAAACTGGTTGACAAATGTCAACTATCATTCAGTACATTCAGTACAGTTCATCAGTACTAACAGTACTCTTGCCTGTAAAGTTATTTCTATTATTCCTTGTTTTATTTGTTAGACACTCTTCTCGCAATCTTGAAAGACAATTAAGATTCATTGAAGATATAAAAATTGCATCAGAGTCAAAACTGAAAACAATTCAAACAAAGACACGTCGCTGAACACGAACATTAACCACCTCAGAGTATAATCAACTCTCTAACGGTTACTTTGATAAGAAAGTTGAACATAAAAGCTCGAATTAACACAACATTGCTCTCATATGTTTCAATTGTACCAAAATGTTTACTTGATTTTGTTGTGACTCTTCAACTAACAATTTAAATCACTCCATTTAAATTCTTTACTGTTTTCCATAATAATTGTTAATTATTGTCTTTAAGTTTTGCTCTGTACTGATGAAAAACATGGCAATTGAATCAGAGATCGAGATGAGAACCAACTCGGTATTGCCAACAATCATGGAATCCAAAGCTAACGATAATTTCCCGAAACCTTGCATTCCGACTAGGTTTTACATTGGCTTTATGATTGCTTTAACATCAATTGTTATGTATGCGGTTCGTAATTGTTTGAGTGTTGCGATAGTTTCGATGACTGAAGATGAATCCAAGTTAAACAAATCAACCTCATATTTAGTGGCTGACAGCAACAATTCAATTACAATCAAACCAATACATGAAAAGGTAAGTTATGATAAAATTAGTAAATTTTATTGACAAATATAAATATTAAACACTTTGAATCTAAATATTTATCAATTGCTTAAAGTGTGATATTAATATAATAATAACTTTTCAATGCAAAAATATCAAATGATTGAAACAGAAATCAAATAAGAATCATATTTATTTTATTATCAAATAAACTTAATATGTGTTTTACTATCTACACTGCCATCAAGGTGAACTACAAGGGGAAATTACGAATTTTACAATTAAAACAATTCAGCTCTGCAAATGACATCCCCTTGTAGCCTCTTTGCCCTTCTCCCCAAAAGGGGATTCATTTAATTAATTTTTCTAACTATTATTAACTTGTTATTAAGTGATAGTGATCTTATCAGTTTCACAAATTTAGGCCATCATCAATAGTAAGCTAGATTATAGTAAACATTATTTGTTTTTGTCAACTTTACTCAATTCAATCAATAAACTAGAAAAGTCGAAAACATGATTAATTTGGTTTCAAATCATCCAGTTTGCTTGGACCGAAAGTCAAGAAGGAGTCATTCTTGGTTCCTATTTCTATGGATATGCTGCATTTCAAATAATCACTGGAGTTATATCAGATAAATTCAATGTTGTCCATTTGTGTATCATCTGTAACATTATCTCAGCCATATTATCGGCTTTAACCCCAATCGCTGCTCATGCCGGTGTTGCCTGCATATCGATTGTCCGAATGCTCTTAGGTGCAAGCCAAGCTCCTACCATTGCTTTGTTATTGGTTTTGGCAAGTAAATGGTTTCCACCTGATGAAGTTGTCTTTCCGATAAGTTTGCTTAATGTTGGTGCTAACATAGGCACTGCTGCTGTTATGCCCTACACTGCTTGGCTTTGCAATCAAGATTTATTGGGAGGATGGCCTCTCGTCTTTTACTCATTGGGTGCCATTAACTTAATCATTCCATTTTTGTGGCTTACAACGATCACTGAAACACCAAATAATCATCCATTCATTTCTAAATACGAGATTGATTACATCAATAAAGCCAATTCAAATGTTGGAAAAGTAAAGGTGAGTTTGAATCTTACTCAGCAAGCCAGATATTGTTCAAGCGCTCAACGTATCGATCAACTTTGCATTACTTTAGTAAATAATCACGCTTATCATGCCTGTGACGATCGTTTTTAAAACAAAGGGAAATGGTTTGCTGGGTATAGCTATTCAAAATATTGCCTACAACAATCTTAATCAATAATGTTTCTTTTTTGTTTCAACACGAAAGATGTCAGTACCTTGGTTATCTATATTCAGCTCCCTTACGATTTGGTCAATCATTGTTGCTAAAGGATGCATATCTATGGGTATCATGATTTTCAACACCAAAATTCCCGCTTATCTCGAATCTGAACTTGGCATGGACCTGACTAGTAATGGTTCTTTCAATTCCCTGCTATACATTGCTATGGCGATCTCAAATTTATCGTCTCCACCTATATTTAAATATTTGATCAACAACGGCTATGTTTCTCGAACAGTGGGCAGGAAGCTCGCCGAATCCATAAGTATTGTTTGATCTTTTTGCGTTCTGCATTTCTCAAACTAACCGGTAAATCTTTTATCTTTCTTATTCAAGCTTTATTCTTACCTGCAATTGCTCTCGTGACAATACCATTCATCAAAGAGAATACAACTCTGATTCTGTGTTTGTTAGTTATTTCATTATTCTTCATGGGATTTCAAGCAGCAGGCGACTGGCCAATTGTATCTGAAGTGGCACCTGATCTAGCTGGAAGTGTTTTCGGTATTACTAATACAACTGCTGCTGCTAGTGGTTTCATATCGCCTCTGATAATTGGGCAATTACTTGATAGTGGGGTTAGTAAATCAACAGCGCATTATATACATTTCATGAAACTCATCTCATCATTATTTAATTGCTTCTTGTTTACAGTTAGACCACAGTGAAGCCTGGAGATATGTATTTTTTATTGGTGCTGGTGTCATGACTTTCGGTGGTTTAATTTTTATCATATTTGCTAAAGCTGAACCAGTACCATGGGGTGTCGCTCCTTCACGATCAATTGATAGTCTGGATAACAATCTGGAGGGTAAGAGAAGGACGAGGCCACATAAGATTCGTGTTCATCCTGTTTTCACTCGACAAGCTTCGATAAATTAATCTTTATCGATATTGCTTGAAAACTTGAAAAAGTAAAAAATAAAGTTCAATTGAAGCCATCTGCTCCATCTATTTACAGAGAAAGAAACTTTCTTTTTTGTAAAAAGTGAAAATTGTTATTCAATCAAAACAAAATCATTTATTAAATACACAGAAGTGGATCGATCTAACTAATTCAACATTTGCCATTTCACATGAAATTCATCATTAACTTTCCAATTGTTGCAGACACACAGAAAAGACAAGACAATAATTGTTACGAGTTTAAATGCTTTTGAGATGATATTTTTATTTGATAGTCCAAGCTATTTGATATTGGCAAACCATCAATAAGTGGTGATCAAACAAAATATTATCGGAGTTGAAAGAATCTTTTGAGAATGAATGACTGATTTAGAAAGAAAAAGAATGTAAATATTTCTGATTCCATGGTTGTTTCACTCAAAATAAAAGTTGAACCAATGGATTGAACCATCTGTATGAAAAATCTTTTCAATGCTGCTTCTCTTTAAACCTTCAATTATTTATTCAATAGACTCAATGAATTTATTTTCAACTAAAAGCTATGAATAAAGTAACTTAAATTTTGAAATTAAATATAAAAAGATTCATTATTTGACATTTTAATTGAAGGGTAGAGTTACCCAAGATAAAGTTTTAAATCAATTTGGATTCATTCAAGTATTGCAATACTTTGGATTCATTCTTTTGTTTGTAAATTTATGCTTAATCCCTCATTGTTAGGTTACTAAGATAACCTTTGGTTACAGTTGTCTTGACATAATTGTCAATGGAGACATTACTCTTTCTTCCTTTTCCTTACTTTCCTTTTCCTTACTCTTACTTTGGTTTCCTTCCGTTTAAATGAGTATATAATGCCTCTGATTTTCATATTTAATTTTATGTTCAATATTGTGTTTAAATTGATCTAATTACTCTTAGTTCAGAACCTCTTGATAAGTATTGTAATACTTTTGGTTCCTCATTTCCTTTTTCTATGTTTAATTAAAGTTTCTATCTAAATCTAAGTCTCTGTGTTCAGCCTTGTCCAGTATTAACATACTATTCCAGTTCAACCTGAATCTCTACCTTTAGCTTAATTTAGCTTAAGAATCTTGTTTTGTGCCTTTGGTTTGTGCTTAGCTATTTTCAGCTCGCGTTGTAAAAGTTCAAAGTATTGAAATACTTATTGGTCAAGCTTGGTAAAGCTAATTATCCTGTTGTAAACTATTGTCGTGTGGACGCTGAGTAAAGCGACGTGTTTGACTAGTTTAGTCTCGAGTTTCTCATCTTTCACTTTGGTTTGAACTTTGGTTAAGATTGTGGTCAAAAGGATTGTAATCCTTGCGCTAATCTAACTCTGAGTAAACAGTATTAGACTCATTGTCAAGTCTTGTGGTGATCCGTAAAAGAACCTGAATTTCAGGATTTGAAAGGACTGAAAGTCTTCTGATTGTGTTGAATGTTAATTCATCTTTAATTCAATTAAAATGTCAAACTATTCCTTTCAAATGGCGACCTCGGCAGGATCGCCCGATGTTCCTGATAATAGTGAATATTGTTTCGCTTTAGATGAAGATGAAAATGATGGTGTTGGTCAAACAGTGACTATGACATTAAAGGTAATGGACACTGAAACAATTAAAGTTTTCCTGAAAAAGTGGGGTATTAAGTTCATCAGTAATGAACAAATTATCAAGAAAGAGTTTTTTGATGCTGTACAAACGATACTGTTGTTAAATGGTGTACCAAGTGCGAGTCAAGAACTGTTGGATTCAACTCATGTTGGTGATATTATGGAAGATATGCCTTCATGGTTAACCGAGCTTCGTGAGAAGAACATTTCTGAATCTGATATTCGGGAAATTATCGTAAAGGTTGGACCTGATCCTCCTACTATGGTTTTAAACACCGAAGCAATGATCGAAAAGCTGAAAGTTAGTTCTCCTGCTAAGCGGCTAATGGTTAATATGATTTCGAAGTGGAGTCGAACTGATTTGAATCCTGTTAAACCTAACTTTAATTTTAATGAATTAATGAGAGATTCTGAAGGTCATGATGGTGATGAAGTTTTCCAGCCACCAAGTACTTCTAATACTAATCAAAGCCTACGGGTTAATGATACAAGTAATCAAGAAGTAAATCAAGAACATCAACGTGTCCGATTCAATGAGGATCGCAATCCTCCGAATCAAGATTTAAGTTACACTGATAATGATAATTATCAATCGAGTCGAAATCCAAGATTAAGTGTTGGAAGTAGTGATCGTGTTAAGCCTAAACTCCCTAAGTTACCGAATTTTACTGAAGGCATGGATGCCTGGGGATGGCTTCAAACAGTCAAGCGACAACTTAGTTTGGAACGATGTCATGATGATGACAAATTGTATGTCTTGCAAAAGGCAATGGCGTATGAATTTCTTCCGATTGCTAAGAAATTAGATGGTGAGACGCATACAAGCTTAACATATATCCAAGCTCTAGAAACTGCCTTAAGAAACCCTGCGTGTATATCACAAGCGACTTCTGAATTTCATAATTTCAAGTGGACCTTTAATATGCCGCCTATTGAGTTTATAAGGAAATTGGAGCAAATGGTATTGAAAGTTAAAGGCGAACCTTCACCTACTGAGTTCATCCAAGATATCCTGATTAGAGTTCCTGCAGAACTGAAAGATACCTTGATAAGGACGAGATCAGTCAGTAATTTAGATGATTTAACTGCTGCTATGGTTAATGAGTATAACATCGAGTTAAGAAAACGGGATGAGAAGTCTAATGATAAAGCAGTTAAAAGAGATTCCTTTAAACGAGATGAGAAGGATGATAAAAAAGATGGTAAAAGGGATTACAATTCCTATGCTGCAAAGCCACCTTTAAGGTGCTACAATTGTGGTCGAATGGGTCATTCATCTAATGTATGTAGACAGCCTCGACGTTCAAAACCTGATTCAAATCAGAATCAGTCGCGATCCAATGAAAAGTTTTCTCCTGCTAACTTAAGGATGGCTAATGCTCCTACTTATGGACAATCGCAGCCTACTCCTAGTACAAGTCAAGCTAAAGAAAGCACAAATTTCGTTGATGAAAACTCTGGTAAGAGTGGTAAGAAATATGCTAATCGTCAATTAGCAAGAGCTCCTGATGCTGAATATTCATTTATGGTAAATGAACAACAGGACGATGTTGAATTGGTTACACGAATTAGTGATTCAGTCAGAAACTTTCCTACGGTAAGGTTAACTTTTTGTTATCCAAATAAAGACTTTATCAAACTTGGTGATGTGTTGTTAGACACTGGTGCATGTACTTCATGTATTGATTATACACTTTCGATGCAATTGCAAGCTTACATATTAAGCTCTAATGTAGCAGTTAAAGGGATAATTGCTGATAGTTTTCAAGCAGTCGAAGGTGCAGCTTATGCGATTCTCAAACATCCAAAAATGAAAGTCTCTAAAATTATCAAATTCCAAGTGATGAGGAATTTAGAACCAGTTATGGTGTTAGGAAACAGATTTGCTGATGTATTCTTTGTTGGTATGTTAAACCATGGTGGTAGATATCAAGTAAATGTTAAAGAAACTGCTAAAAGTGAATGGTTAAGTCCAGAACTCCTGTTCAGATTTTGTACTCCAGAAGAATCAATTGGATTGATTAACAAACCTGAAGTACCGTCTGTGAGTTCAGTTCGACAGAAACAAAACTTTTTAGACTCCTTAAATTTGCCATTTCTACCTTGGTTAGAGTCAGAGGAAGTTATTCCTCCAATTGTTCCTCCAGTTGTTCCCGAAGTTATTCAAGATGAAGTTCGACAAGATGTTGAAAGAAAAAGTTTTGTCAAAGAAATAATCTTTTCTCGAGAATTTGACAATATCATTCCTATCTATTTGAATATGGAAAGCAAAGAGCTAAGTTTAGCTGAACGGTTGATAAACCGAATGGATCCTGATCTTAAAGCAGATCAACGTAATGAGCTACTAAACGTGTTGATGCAGTATACTGAAGTTTTTAGTCAAAACAAAGCTGATTTAGGTTTGGTACCTTGGCAAAGATGGCCTATTAAGATTGACATTGGGGATAATGCTGTTCCTTATCAACGTCCGTACCCTTGTACTATTGAAAAACGAAAGGAGTATCAGAAAATCATTGCAGAATTGTTACGGAATGATATTATTGAGCCTAGTGAAGCTGAAGGTGGCTCTCCTGCGTTACTTATTGGTAAACCTGATGGTTCTTTCCGATTGCTGAATGATCTACGGGCAGTAAATCGACTAACTAAAGTTATATTTCACCCAATGCCTCGAGTTGACGATTGCTTGGAAGCAATTCGTGGAGCTAGTCATTTCAACATGTTTGATTTATATCAAGGATATTTTCAAATCGAGATTCCTCCTAGTGAGCGAGGAAAAACTGTGTTCGTAACCCCTGATGGGAAATATCAATATAAGCGACTTCCGATGGGTCTTGCTTGTGCACCCTTTGAGTTTCAAAGACTGATGAATACGGTCTTACATGGTCTTAACTACACTGAATGTTTAGGCTACTTTGATGACATCCCGGTTATTGGTAAAAATTGGAATGAATTACTAACTAATACTGGATTAGTTTTGGAAAGGTTGAGAGATTGGAACCTGAAAATTAAAACTGATAAATGCAGATTCGGAGTAACGGAATTACTTCTATTAGGACACTTGGTTAATGGAGAAGGTATTCGTCCAGATCCAAGTAAAGTTACTGCATTAAAAAGACTTCCATATCCAACTACAGTTAGACAATTGCAATCACAATTAGGTTGTTACAATTACTTTTCTAGGTATATTCCTAATTATTCAAAGTTAGCTGCTCCTCTCTATCGATTGGTATCTAGAGAAAGACGATTTAATATGCTTAAACAAGATCATGAAGCACTTGATAAACTCAAGTCATCTTTAATTGAAACAACGTTATTGGTTCATTTCGACCCTGAGTTGAGAAAAAAGTTATCTGTTGATGCAAGTGACGTTGCTGTTGGTGGAATCTTATTACAAGAAGATTCCGATCAAACTCTTCCAGAAGGATTTCAATCCTTAAGAGATGTTCCCATTG